TATAATATGTACGGCTTTCTACGTGAGACATTCGATAGATGGGCACGATCCCGGCGCAATCGCCCGGTGTTGCCGTAGCGATGAATCCCATGTCGCCTAAATCACAAGTTTAGCATTTCTGCTGGCCTAACAAAGCTTTTAAGAATTAAAAATATGTTCATAATAAATATTTAACTTTAGCCTGTCCCGAGAGCGCATTTCTCTTTTGCGCTCGTTGCAATGAGAAACCTTGTATTCCTCATTTTGTAAGGGATTTGCATCTTTGTTGATAGTTACGCGAATGTTAAATTTTTAAAAAACCAGCTGGAATACACTCATGCAAACATTGAAAAGTTTATCCATAGTCCAATCTTGACTCTCTTTGATATTAACACCGATCAAGGAAAACGGATCAAGCGGAAAATCAGCTACTTACCCAAGTTCGCATAGTTCGCAAAAAAGAAAGTTAGCATTTGCAACTTTGATTTTCATCATTTTGGGCTACCTGGCTTTTAAAAATTAGATAACATGAGCCTAACTTTTTCTTTGTTTCTAGCATCCAAGTTTATTAAGGGTTGCTGTAAGACAAGACTGTTGCGCATAAAAAAATTTTCTGAAGTGCTAGTTTTCTAAATTAGTCGATCGCCGTAAACCAACTCTCCACTTTGTATCCGAGTCCCACATAATTGAGCTGCTCATCGCGACTTGGTGTGTAGAAGTGGTCTTGGAGATCTCCATTCCACGAACGGCGTAGTGGCGTCAGAGCGGCTGAATGGATGAACAAATAACTTAAGCCAGGACACAAAAAGTTACCGCCACTTTTACAGCTGCAGGATTTCACCGAATCGCGTTGACAGTCTGAAACTCATATTTATCCTCGTTTTCTAATTAAGGGCTTTATCAACTACTCTTTCCTATAACCAAAGCCCCAAAAAAACCATAGTTTGAGTTTGAGGTTTGAGGTTTGAGCAAAGGTCTTTACTAATATTTTACAACATAACACATGCATTTAGATTATAGTATCAAGTGATCACCGTTGGCGTAAGGCCATAGGTTTAACATCTTTGCTTTGCCTTTGCTACTAAATACGAGATGTAAGATCTTCTATCGATTAAGGTTCCTCAGATCCAATACAAACACACTAACCAATTTGCTCGATCGGTCCCGTCTGTGGAGCTGTACGGGCTGTCGCCAAAAGGGAAAGAAGAAGGAGAGTCGAGAGCATTTTGGTGAAAGCTCTTGATTCTGGCAAAATTTAAACTAGAACTTATATAGGCAGTCAGTTATATATCTAGCCATAAAAAGTCATGAAAATTAATAGCCAAGGACAAAAAAGTCATCAATGTCATAGGAACTGTACAGCTTCTTTTTCGGGCTGACCCATCAAATGTATTCGCTCTTATCACCAAAAGTTGTCTATCCCTAGAAGATTCCATTTTTCAGTTTAAAGTGTGGCTCGTGATCTGCTGACTCATGAGCCTATTGAAGCTCCAAGCCATAAGAGAAAAAATGGAAAAATTCAACGGTCTGACCCATGTGGGCAAATAAGTTGCCTTCCTGGAGACAGTCTTTGAATTGCAAGATTTTTGAATGAAATAGTAGCTTGGAGCTGAGAAATGGAGAGGAAATGGAAAGGAAACTAAAGTTTAATTTTCCTACTTTGAGCATCTGGGAAACCTATTTTTCCGGGCCTTATGTAGATTTAAAAATCAGAATTCTAAAAAGATAGCTTCAGAAAGTTTTTCTCGTAGCATCACCGGCTTATTACAGCAATCCCTTAACAACCTGGACTGTTATTGCCATTGGCATTCTTGGTATAGGCTATTTCTGAATCTGTATAGCGCCCTCTTTTCGGTCATTACTCAACCATTGGCAACAAAATTCAAAAGCGAACTTATTCAATTAGGAATTATAAAAAGAGCCGAAAAGGAACACAACGATTCAATAGTAAAATCAGGTCAAGCACTAGATTCAGAATTTGACTTCTATCAGATTGAAACTCAGAATTTTCATGGGGTACTAGCGAACCTTTTCAAAAACGTTTTAGAATCTGACAAGGTAAGTAAAACCTTGCATGCCTTTAATAGACAATCCCTAAAAATTTTCCTAGAAGCTGACCCTTCACTAGTATTTGGCTCTTATCACTAAAAAGTGTCTGTTTTTGAGCAAACTTTCTCTGAGATAAGACCCCATCGAGCCAACAAATCGCTTTTTGAAATCCGATTTTTCGATTTGTACGATTTGTGAATGAAAAAAGAGTGCTAGCTTGCACATCCCTGATTCGACCATATGATGAATAAAAAACAGTATTAGAAAAGTGGTATACTTTATTCGCAGATGAATAAGTTGGTTAATTGAATTGAGATTGCGAGTTGAGAAGGCAATCAGGTGAGAATAAACTGCTTTGAGAACTCGCCCGTTACTCGAGTCTACCCACCAAGGTCTGTTGAAGGAGGACGCTAGTCCCGGGCGCAGCAGGAGAGACGGAAGTGCACTTTTATGGCTCTTCAAAAAGTACTAGCAAAAGGTGGATTCCATTTTTGACCGTCTGACCCATGTGGGTAAATAAATCGCTTTTCTGGAGACATTCTTCGAAATGTACGATTTGTGAATGAAATAGTAGCTTGGAGCTGAGAAATGGAAAGAAATTTTTCAATTCAAAAGCAATTTTCCTACTTTGAGCATCTGGGAAACCTATTTTTCCGGGCCTCATGTGGATTTAGGAAATCTGAATTCTAAAAAGATAGCTTCAGAAAGTTTGTCTCATAGCATCACCGGCTTATAACAGCAATCCCTTAACAAGCTGGGCTGTTATTGCCATTGGCATTCTTGGTACAGGCTATTTCTGATATTTTTGGATATTATTGGATATTTTTGGATATTTTTGGATATTGATATTGTTGTTGAACTTGGTTGTCCAAGATTTGGGCTCAAGATTTTTGCACCACACTGAATTTAGGTAGGTCTCTAATTGCTCAACTTCCTGGTTTGGCCTAGAAACAATCGACTAAATTGATCTCATCTCTTGAGACTTTTCTGGAAGCTATTTGACTTTAAAAGCTTACGTTTCTGGCAAGACCGGGATCTATCAATTCAGAGAGGTCTAATTCTGGAAACTATCAATTCCTAACTTTTTCTTTGTTTCTAGCATCCAAGTTTATTAAGGGTTGCTGTAAGACAAGACTGTTGCGCAAAAAGATTTTTAAAAAACCCCGAGAGCGCATTTCCCTTTTGCGCTCGTTGCAATGAGAAACCTTGTATTCCTCATTTTGTAAAGGATTTGCATCTTTGTTAATAGTTACGCGAATGTTAAATTTTTAAAAAACCAGCTGAAATACATTCATGCAAACATTGAAAAGTTTATCCATAGTCCAACCTTGACTCTCTTTGATATTAACACGGCATAATGAGTTTCTCAAAGATTCAGATACTGTTAAAAATGCTTTTTGTTATAAGACTGTCCTGGAATATCATAAGACTGTCCTGTACGGAACTATACAATTTCTTTTACTTGACCCATCAAAATCATTCCCTCTTATCACCAAATTTTTGTCTATTTTTTGGCTCTAGACTTCCACTGACGCATGTGGGCAAATAAATCGCTTTTTTGGAGACAGCTTTTTTTTCGAAATGTACAATTTGTGAATCGCCTAGTAGCGGAGAAATGATGGAGAGAAAACTAAAAGGCCTTCGTTCAAATCGGAAAAAAAACTTCAGAAAGGCGATTTATTCGCTCACACAGGTCAATTTGATCTTGCGACGAAAATTTTTGCTGAAAATTAGATACTTCGGTGATAAGAGGGTCTGTTTAGTTTTTTTTTTCTAAGAGAATAAAGAGAACTGTAGAATTTTCAAGAGTCGTCTAATTCCAGGCGAAACAAAAGGACTTTTACGATATTTTCTACTATATTTGCTTTTGAAACTTTGGTACGAACGATGCTTCCATGCCTCTTTATTCTTTTTTCTACTTTTTCTATTGTCTCGGCAGCTCCGAAACCGGCTAATTTGGCTAGTAAGTGTTTATATTCGAATGAGGTCAGATAATTGCCATACCCGGCTCCCGGATACACAGTTTAGAAAAGGGAAGCTCAAATTATTAATACAAGCTACCACCAGAGTTCTAAAAATACGTATCTGGCTGCAGGATCCACGATTTGGAGAAGATATTTGCTGAGTGCGGTCGAAAAACTAAGAAAGGTGTGCAGTGGTAGGGAAGCCACACAGCAAACCACTTTTCTAGTCCGTGGATCCTGCGTTAAATCGAAATCTGAGGAGATCTTTCTAAAATTCTAATACATTCTAAAATTTAGATTGTGAGCGCAACTCAGATAAAACCTGCGACTGCAAAAATACCGGTAACTTTTGTTCTTTTCTTGGGATAATTTCAATTTATATCTAGCCGCTTTGAGGCCTCTCCTACGTTCGTGGAATGAAAAAATCGGGGATCATTTCTACATGATGAGCCATGAAGAGCAACTGAATGCAATCGGGCTTGGCTATACGATGGAAAGTCCGTTTCATCACCTAACCATAACCATAACAATGAGTTAGCAAGGAGCCGAATCAACGAAAATGATTATTTAAACTAGCGAGGAAAGCTTCCAAGTTCCAAATGTCTTTCGAAAATGTTGTGAACAATTTCTAGAGGAGAATTTGACGCCAAATCCGAATCTGGTGTCAGATTTTCCAGAACAGCGCCGGAAGGGCTTAAAATTGATCCCAGCTTTGCGTGTAAGCACAGTCATTATATTTTTTTGAAAAATCTAGTCACAGAAGTGGCAATTACAAGCTGACAAACGTTAAAAATATTTTTTGATCTGAAATCAATTCATACAGCGACAAACTCTAACAGCTATACTCATTCAGACGATATGGGACTGATCGGCACTGTATCGCCAAGTGGTTGTGCCGGAATCGTGCCAATCTACAGGATGTGGTCGGACCTAGCAAGTGAGTTGGCATTATTCTGCTCAAAAGCAGAATAACGTATGCCTTTTCAGGTGATCACCTCTATACGACGAACTACGACGAGAAAGAGTATGCACTCAAATGGCACCGGTACAACCTCGAGAGCACAATGGGCTACTGCATGGCGGCGCCTGGCTGCGGTCTAGTGCCTCTGCATCGGTTCTGGAACCCGCAAATTCGAGGTATCCGGTTATTAGATTTAAAAAAATCAATGAATACAGAGCTCTAAAAAGCACCGAAATGAGTTGCAGGCTCTACCGTTTAGAAAATATATTGGATATAGCTGCTATAGCTATAGCTGCCTTATAGCTAAGAAAAACGAGCAGTGATAGGGCAGTTACCCAGCAAACACCTCCTCTAAACCCTGGACCCTGCAGTCGGATACGGTATCTTTGGAACTCTGGTAGTAATAACGCTATTGTAGTTGTTGTAGGGGTAGTCTTCAACATGTTTCCTTTTCCTAAGCCCTTTTCTTAAGCTCTGGATCCTGCAACCGAATACGGTATTTTCAGAGCTGTGGATGAGATACATTGCGGTAAAAGCGCAAAAAAAAATGTCTAGTCAGACAGGAAATAGGTGATTCTGATCAAATTTTAGATCATTTCTATACGAGCGACGAAGTGGAGAAGGACCAGGTGCTTCAGGATGACGCTTGGCGGTACGAGGGAATTCAATGCTACGTCTGGCAGTCGCTTGATTTGACGGACTGTTGAATTTTTCCATTTTTTTTCTCTTATAACTTGTACAATGCATAAATTGATTTTTGAAGCTTCAATCTGCTCACGAGTCAGCAGATAGATAGCCACACTTTAAACTGAAAAATGGAATCTTCTTTTTGCTAGTACTTTTTGAAGAGCCATAAAAGTGCATTTCCGTCTCTCCGTATTCAAATCTATACATAAAGAGACATAAAAGTCAAATTCAAATGAGCTTTCGTTTGCTTATTAGTTTTGGCACAATCACGGCTTTGTATTGTGGAAAAATTCGATAAAATCAGGCCCGGCCTGACCCGGCTGATAAGAGCAAGTCTACTGATGCTTTAACTTTCATAAAAAAAGAAAGACTTTTGCCTTTATGACTATCAGAACTAGCATATATAGCGAGCGTTAGTTTCAATTTGGTCAGAATTCGGCGATTTATTTGCCCACCTGGATCAGACTGTTGAATTTTTCCATTTTTTCTCTTATGACTTGGAGCTTCAATCTGCTCATGAGTTAGCAGATCACGAGCCACACTTTAAACTGAAAAATGGAATCTTCTAGAGATAGACAACTTTTGGTGATAAGAGCGAACACGTTTGATGGGTCAGCCCGAAAAAGAAACTGTACAGTTCCTATGACATTGATGACTTTTTTTTGGCGTTGGCGACTAATTTTCATGACTTTTTATGGCTAGATAGATAACTGACTACCTATATAAAGTTCTTATGATTACATTGAGATAGATAGCGACACTTTAAACTGAAAAATGGAATCTTCTTTTTGCTAGTACTTTTTGAAGAGCCATAAAAGTGCATTTCCGTCTCTCAGTTTTCAAATCTATACATAAAGTTCATAAAAGTATTCAAACGAGCCTTTCTTGGCTTATTAGCCTGGCACAATCATGGCTTTGTCTAGTGGCGAAATTTTGGTGATAAGGCCTAGGCGGACTGATAAGAGCAAGTGTATTAATGCTTAACTCTTGTAAAAAAGAGAAAGACTTTTGCTTTTATCGCTATCAGAAATAGTCTCAAAACCCAATCAATATATAGTGAGCTCTCGTTTCAGTTTTGTCAGAATTCGGCAGTGTCAACCATGCTCTCGACTTGCCTCCTTCTCCTTTGCATCTCATCAATGGTCTTGGCATTACCCGGTCAACCTGTCAATCTAACGAGTTAGTGTTTTTTTAAAATACAATAAATGCGACATATACGAAACTTTAGACTGTCCGACAACTACGTGCACCTGCAAAACAAGCGGTGATTTTTTCATTTATTGAACATTATATACTAGCTTTTCAGCCGGTATCACACCGCTCCTTCGTTCATGGAACAGCCAAATTGGCGATCATCTCTACACGACAAATCGTGATGAGCAGCTGAATTCAATCGGAAAAGGCTACGTAGTAGAGGGTAGGGTCTCCAAAAAATGTTTCTCACTACAAATCACTCACACGATTAATATGTAGATTCTGGATTCGAGCTTTCAGGATGCATACATACAGTCACGCACAAAAGTCTTGTAACATCCAGTTTAGCAAATTGCAAAGTGTAATACTTTTTTTTGCAAAGAGGCGAATCCCCAAACAGTTTTTGGTTTTCAGTTGTCAAAAATTTCTATTTTTATATAAGAGAAAAACTTTATTGAAACGATTAACAAAAATTAAGAAACACAAATAAAAACAAAAAACGGGCGTATTTTTGATGCTCAAAAGTCTTGTAACATTTGAAAAAAAAACATTGATTAAAAACAAAAAACATTAGCTTTGATGACTTCCTGGATCCGCGTAGAATTTGGGCTCCCAGGGATGACCAGGTACGGCGAATAAAGAACCAAAGCTCTATCTTCGAGTTGAATCGCTTTCCCTCCAGCTTTGACTTCAAAAAAGCCCAAAGATGCTCAATGACGCTCAAATCTGGGCTGTATGGAGGAGCTGAGATAAGTTGAACACGATTTGCTTTCAACCATCCTGGAAGACGAGCTTTCCCACCATTTACGAGAGTGACGACCCGGTCCATTAGCAATTGACTCTTGTATTATCCTGATAAAGCAGCCATCCAGGGCCCATTTTTGCAATTGAAAATGGCAGAAGATGATTCTGGAGAACTGATTTGTAGCCTTCAGCCTTGAGCGTTGAGTTTAGTAGCACTAGCGGACCTAGTGAGTTTCTCGACATTGTACCTGAAAGACAGAGTTGAGAGTGTGCACAATGAAAGTAGCCCAAAGCATGATTGATCCTTGGCCAAATTTCACGGTTGGTCGCACATATCTGATGTTAGACCGCTTTCCTGCTGCTCTTCTGATCAAGTGATTGCCATTCGGGGTCATCAGTAAAAATCACATTTGCCCAATCATTTGCCGTCCAGGAAGCATACTTTTTTGCAAACTCCAAACGAATCTCCCGATGCTTGGCATTCATCAAGGGCTCCTTGGTTGCTCTTCTCGTCACCAATCCACCACGAATCAACAGTCGGCTCACCGTCATTCGTGATACATCCTTGTCGAATTGGCTCTTCATCCTAACCACTTGATTGCTAGCATTGAGATCCTTATTATTTTCGTGGGCTTTGACGAGCGCTTCATCCTCCCTGGGTGTTGTAATTGGTGGACGGCCTGATTTTGAAGCTCGGTGGACAGATCCAGTCGTTTTGAACGTCCCGACAATTACAGATACTGTTTTTCACTGTATTTGAAGAGAGCTGCCACATCTTTCCTCTGTATTCCTTTCTCTCGCGCTTCCACAATTTTTTCTTTGTCCCGAGTTGACAAATATTGTCCAGGCATCTAAAAAAAAATGATTTTTTGTTATATAAAAAGAAAAACAAAAAAAGAAGCAAAATACTTCAAATGTTACAAGACTTTTGAGCATCAAAAATACGCCCGTTTTTTGTTTTTATTTGTTTTTCTTAATTTTTGTTAATTGTTTCAATAAAGTTTTTCTTGTATATAAAAATAGAAATTTTTGACAACTGAAAACCAAAAACTTTTTGAGAATTCGCCTCTTTGCAAAAAAGTTAGTACACTTTGAAATTTGCTAAACTGGATGTTACAAGACTTTTGTGCATGACTGTATACATATAATATTTTTCTTTTGACCTCATCATGTTAAACTTCTATCATTTCAGCCAACATGGGCTTCATTGGTACGGTGGCGGGTTATGGTGGGTGCAGCGGATTGGTGCAAATCTATCGATTGGTGTCACCTACTGCAAGTAAGATTTGTAGATCGGTAGTTTTGCATTACCATTCATCGATTTCAAGAAACAGAATACAAATAACGTTTTCTAGATGATCACTTCTATACGACGAGCTATGATGAAATGCTGAATGTGCTCAAAACGTACAACCTCGAGGGCACAATGGGCTATTGCATGGCAGCGTCTGGCTGTGGTCTGGTGCCACTGCATCGCTTCTGGAACCCGAGCATCTTAGGTAGTTGTTTTCGACTAGGTTGTACATTCAATTAGCTCGATAGTAGCGTGCTTTCGGAAGGTCTCGCGGTCATCTTTAAACATTCTTTTGATTCCTATTTCCAACTTAGCACTAAGACGCTTACATTTAAATATATTGACAATTAAATATATTTAGTTCAAATTTTAGACCATTTCTATACAAGCGATCAAGTGGAGAAAGACTCTTTCTTGCAAAACGGCGCCTGGAAGTACCAGGGAATCCAGTGCTACGTCTGGGAGTCAACTGATGTAAGGGATTGCTGAAGCGTGGCTATTGTGTTCATTTCTTGTATTTATTATGTACATTTTCACAATATTTGCATCTTTTATTGAATAAATCGCTATAGAAGTGTTTCTCCACATAATATAATTTAAAGCAGCATTGCATACGGTTTTGAGTGACTGCTAAAACATCTACACACTAGTAGATTGACTAATCAGCCTAGGAATCCGATAATTACAGATGATTTTAAGCTCAAAATGAGCCGAAACACAGACTAGTATGTAGGTGGACTAAAAAAGAACTCAATTGTTTGAGAAGATTGATGTACTTTAATTGTTTTTACGGCCTCGTCACGTTGAAACGTTGAAACACGATCTGCCAAGTTAACCAACGTTGAGCTCAGTTAGTAGTTGGTTCGAAGATGACTGACGAATCCCGAGTGCTGTAGCAGCTGCGCCCGGGACTAGTGTCCTCCTTCAACAGACCTTGGTGGGTAGACTCGAGTAAGGGGCGAGTTCTCAAAGCAGTTTATTCTCACCTGATTGCCTTCTCAACTCGCAATCCCAATTCAATTAACCAACTTATTCATCTGCGAATAAAGTATACCACTTTTCTAATACTGTTTTTTATTCATCATATGGTCGAATCAGGGATGTGCAAGCTACTACTCTTTTTTCATTCACAAATCGTACAAAACGAAAAATGGGATTTCAGAAAAGCGATTTGTTGGCTCGATGGGTTCTTATCTCAGAGAAAGTTTGCTCAAAAACAGACACTTTTTAGTGATAAGAACCAAATACTAGTGAAGGGTCAGCTTCTGGGAAAATTTTTAGGGATTGTCTATTAAAGGCATGCAAAGTTTTACTTACCTTGTCAGATTCTAAAACGTCTTTAAAAAGGTTCGCTAGTACCCCATGTAAATTCTGAGTTTCAATCTGATAGAAGTCAAATTCTGAATCTAGTGCTTGACCTGATTTTACTATTGAATCGTTGTGTTCCTTTTCGGCTCTTTTTATAATTCCTAATTGAATAAGTTCGTTTTGAATTTTGTTGCCAAAGGTTGAGTGATGACCGAAAAGAGGGCGCTATACAGATTCAGAAATAGCCTATACTAAGAATGCCAATGGCAATAACAGCCCAGGTTGTTAAAGGATTGCTGTAATAAGCCGGTGATGCTACGAGAAAAACTTTCTGAAGCTATCTTTTTAGAATTCTGATTTTTTAAATCTACATAAGGCCCGGAAAAATAGGTTTCCCAGATGCTCAAATTTGGAAAATTAAACTTTAGTTTTCTTTCCATTTGCTCTCCATTTCTCAGCTCCAAGCTACTTTTTAAAAAGTATATTTATTCGCCACGAATAATGAATTACAACACAACGGAGGAAACCTTTATCCCTAATTATCCCTATTACCCAAATGTTGTTAAGAAAAAACCCATGATAATGGGAAAAAGAAGCAATGTTTCTAGCCGCCGGGAGCGAACCCTTAACCCCCCGACTAGGAGACAACACTCCTATCCAGTCGGCTACGACGGCCGTCTTTTTGATTTGATTCAAAAATCTTGCAATTCAAAGACTGTCTCCAGGAAGCCGATTTATTTGCCCACATCGGTCAGACTGTTGAATTTTTCCGTTTTTTCCCTTATGACTTGGAGCTTCAATCTGCTCATGAGTCACGAGCCATACTTTAAACTTAAAAATGGAATCTTCTAGAGATAGACAACTTTTGGTGATAAGAGCGAATACGTTTGAGGGGTCAGCCCGAAAAAGAAGCTGTACCGTTTCTAAGACATTGATGACTTTTTTTGGTGTTGGCGACTAATTTTGATGACTTTTTATGGCTAGATAGAGAGTATTCTAGTTTAAATTTTGCCAGAATCAAGAGCTTTCACCAAAATGCTCTCGACTCTCCTTCTTCTTTCCCTTTTGGCGACAGCCCGGACAGCTCCACAGACGGGACCGATCGAGCAAATTGGTTAGTGTGTTTGTATTGGATCTGAGGAACCTTAATCGATAGAAGATCTTACATCTCGTATTTAGTAGCAAAGGCAAAGCAAAGATGTTAAACCTATGGCCTTACGCCAACGGTGATCACTTGATACTATAATCTAAATGCGTGTGTGTGCTGTAGAATATTAGTAAAGACCTTTGTTCAAACCCGGATTAGCAATACATATAACTAAAGATAGGGCATAGTTAAACTTCTAGATTTAAGAGAGAAAGAGTGGTGAAGGGCCTCCTCACATTTTCTATAGGTGAGAGCAGAGCCACTCTTCCTAAGCTACAAATGAGTCCTATTTTCGAAATGGGTCTCGCTTAGAAAGGGGCTGACTCATGAGAGCATGCCCGAATGATTGCCTGGTAGAAAAACTATGGTTTTTTTGGGGCTTTGATTATAGGAAGGAGTAGTTGATAAAGCCATTAATTAGAAAACGAGGATAAAGTTTCAGACTGTCAACGCGATTCGGTGAAATCCTGCAGCTGTAAAAGTGGCGGTAACTTTTTGTGTCCTGGCTTAAGTTATTTGTTCATCCATTCAGCCGCTCTGACGCCACTACGCCGTTCGTGGAATGGAGATCTCCAAAACCACTTCTACACACCAAGTCGCGATGAGCAGCTGAATTATGTGGGACTCGGATACAAAGTGGAGAGTTGGTTTACGGCGATCTACTAATTTAGAAAACTAGCACTTCAGAAAATTTTTTTATGCGCAACAGTCTTGTCTTACAGCAACCCTTAATAAACTTGGATACTAGAAACAAAGAAAAAGTTAGGCTCATGTTATCTAATTTTTAAAAGCCAGGTAGCCCAAAATGATGAAAATCAAAGTTGCAAATGCTAACTTTCTTTTTTGCGAACTATGCGAACTTGGGTAAGTAGCTGATTTTCCGCTTGATCCGTTTTCCTTGATCGGTGTTAATATCAAAGAGAGTCAAGATTGGACTATGGATAAACTTTTCAATGTTTGCATGAGTGTATTCCAGCTGGTTTTTTAAAAATTTAACATTCGCGTAACTATCAACAAAGATGCAAATCCCTTACAAAATGAGGAATACAAGGTTTCTCATTGCAACGAGCGCAAAAGAGAAATGCGCTCTCGGGACAGGCTAAAGTTAAATATTTATTATGAACATATTTTTAATTCTTAAAAGCTTTGTTAGGCCAGCAGAAATGCTAAACTTGTGATTTAGGCGACATGGGATTCATCGCTACGGCAACACCGGGCGATTGCGCCGGGATCGTGCCCATCTATCGAATGTCTCACGTAGAAAGCCGTACATATTATAAGCAAATGTTGAATTTTTAAAATTTTTTATTCAGATGATCACTTCTACACGACATCCTATATCGAGATGCTGAACTACCTCAGGAGCTACTACATTGAATCAACCGCAATCGGTTATTGTATGTCTGGACCAGGGTGCGGTTTGATTCCACTGCATCGACTGACGAATTGGACTATCGTAGGTAGGAACACTTTGTGGGAAGAAATTTTGATTTAATTCTTTGAAAGCAATGAAATTTTGTCGGATTTTGTTGTTCAGCGTTTTTCTGAGAGACGGAAAGTTTCATGTTTTCAATAATGATTTTGTAAAGCAGAGAAAGCTCTACAATAATTCAAAAGAAAAAAAGCTATATTATAATGCATTGTGCAAAAGTATATACAGATTTGAAAAATCTCACAGCTTCCAATTCAATAATCGAGGAAATTACTATAATAAGCACAAGGACTTCGGAATTTGTACTGTTTTCAGATCATTTGTACACGATCGATGACGCGGAGAAGGACAGAGCGATGCAGGGGCAATATGACTATAATGGAATTCAGTGCTACGTCTGGTCGTCGCTCGATGCGACCGACTGTTGATCTCGCTGTTTTTACTCATTTTTTGAGTAAAAACAGCAACCCCTTTTTGATTAAAATTATACGGAAAATTCATATACGTGTCGATTTTCGGTTATTTGTCTTATAAATCTTTTGCTATATTTCAGTAAAGGGAATACCAAGTGTTTATGACCAGAAGAAATGAATCAACTGCTTGGTCAACAACTTTCTTTTACGTGTTTGGCAATCGAGTCACAGAACTCCGAGAAATAGGCTTGAAAATACGAGAAATCAATGCAAAAGCGTCTTTCAGAGTGTACAATGACTGTGCTTCCCTCCGTGTTCTTTTGAACGAGGATTGGGGGCGTCTGATGGCTTTCCCCCAAATTTGACACCTAAGAAACCAAAAAAAACTCCTTTCAATTCGCTTAATGGGTGTCTTTAATGCATTCCATCATTTTGCGTTGAAAATCATTTACCTGAAAATGTATGTCATAGCAGCCTAGCGTTTAGTCTGACGGTCCTTGAACATGTTCATCCTTCAAACTGTCGAGCACCACAGAGAGCAAATAGACTGGTTGTAAGCTCGCCCGAAGAACTTGGGAGGTTTTGGGGCGAAGTAATCATCCACTGCTTTTATGATCTGCGCATGATGATCGAACTTTTCTCTCACCAAAAAGTGCTAAAGCGACCGAAACAAAAAGTAATCTGAAGAAGCCAAATCAGCAGATTATGGTGCGTGGGGTCGCACTTTCTTCGATTTTCTAGTTCCAATTGATCTTTGCCGAGTGAGGTTTTGCGTTGTCGTGTAAAAATCTGACTTTCTTCGGTTTCAGCGCTAATTTCTTCAAAAGACTCGTTAACTCTTATTAAGTGCTTTGAATAATGATCAGCATCGATAGATTGGCCAGATTTCCGCACTTCATAATGCACCAATCCCTTGAAGTTCCACCAGCAACAGAGCATTATCTTCTTCCCATGGATAAATTTTGGTATTAGGTTGCTACATAATTCTTGAGGCTTTATTTCAAAGTCTCATTTAGAAATGTATATCCAACCAATCGACTTGCGGTTTGCTTCAATAAAAAAATTTTTTGTTACTTTTAGCTGATTTTTATGCTAATTAGGGTCTGTATTGCAGAAAAATTGAGCAGAAATTCTTGTTTTTATCAATTTCGGAAAATAAGGATACAAAGAAAACATCTCAACGGATCAAACTGAAAATTCGATTACTTACCTAACTTTTTATGTAGAAACTTTTTTCTTCTGATACCAAAATGGGTTTCTGCGGCAGAAAGTTTGCAATTGCAATTTGACTTTCATTATTTTTGACGACCTGACTTGCTGCCTTTGAAACACAGCCCCAAGACTTATGTAACAAGCTACTAAAATACAAAATAAAAGCAAGTAATTGAAAAGATCTGATGGCCCTTCCATGAGTCAGGGAAGGGCTTTCATGATATTTTGATTCAAAGCAGATAATATTTTTCTTTTTCGGATCTCACCTCCCGAAACAAAAAAAAATTGTTCCCCAAAAATTTCCACAAGGAAAAAAATGGAAAATTCCCGTTCCCATCCGCATTCTCCTAAGGCCATTCCCAACACCCACCTGCCTACCTGACTTCGTGCTTTTTAAAGACTGGATCACGTGATATTTGATAACTTTTGAAGGTTATAGAGAAATAATATGGCTTTCTGATAGGAAAAACCGCAAGCCTATTGGTTGTTTCATTTCTGAAGGAAAGTTTGAAACCAAGCCCTAAGACTTATGTAATAGCCTAATATTTTCCGACTTTTGTATCAGTTGATCTTTATTCAAACCAATTAATGAGAGTTAACGAGTCTTTGAAGAAATTAGGGACTCAAACCTGAGAGAGTCAGACTTTTACACAACAACGCAAAGTCTCACACTGCAAAGATGAACTAAATGATTTGTTACATAAACTCGTCGAAAAATAGAGCTTTTCTCTGTAAAAGCTCAAAATTTGCATAATACTTCCGCCTATTTTCGAAAATATTTCTGAAAATCGGTATCCGATTCGGTCTCATTCTTGACCAATCTATAAAATTCTCCAAATTCTTTTAATTTTTCAAAGAATTTTCTTATTTTCCTATTCTTCGCATAAAAAAATCTGTGGCGTCGAGCATTTTTTTGGTGCATTTTTTTTTGATTGATTTTCTTTTGGTTGTGAATTTTTATGCTTTTACTTTTTTTTGCTAGACTTGTTGAACAAGAAAACAACGAAAATAAACAAATCACTAGCGCTTTCTATTTTCTGGCAAAAAGTACAATAATCAAAGAAGAAGAAGAAGAAATAAAAGATTTGAGACCCATGTCAATACTCACCGAGAACGAAAGAGTTACACCGAAGAAAGGTTTTCATTTTGAAAGAGATTAGAGATTTGAGTTTTGTCTGGAAGAAAGCAAAAACAACAAATAAATGGTTAGAAATTTTCAAATTTCACTCAAAAAGTTGCGTATTTTGCGCTCAAATCTGGAAACACATTTTTCTGAAGCACGAACTCTTGGACTTAGATGAAATCGAATTTTATTGGGGTCATAAAATAGGGAACACAAAAACGATCATAAAAAAGTTATGGGGGCATAAAAACCCCCAGCAAAACCTTTACATTTAATAGTCAAATTAAATTTGCATCTAAAAATCTTTTCAGATCTTTAAAATGATCTTAGGCTTAGGCTTTAAAGCCTTATTCAGCTTTAAAATGATTTACATTACGTTTAATGTAAATCATTTTAAATCATTCTTTAGGCATTGATGTAATTGTGTTGACTTCTATTGTTATTCAAATAATTTGTTATTGTTATGATGTTAATGTTATTCTCTCAACAACCATTATAACCAAAGTTTAGCAAATCTACGATATATAAAGCAGAAGAGCCGTCTGTCCGTCTGTCTGTTTGCAGCCATTGGTAAAAAGGGGCGCGGCTTAGATTGTTGAAAAACGCGAACATTAGTGAGCGTTTTCCGCTGGTTTAACGATAAAACAACCGAAATATTAAGATTTAACGAAATAAGCTACCGCTAAAGTATGCTTTTTGAAATGAAGATACAGATATACTTTATCGAAATGTCGATAGTCAGTCGAAATCAGCTATTTGAAACTGGTTAGCTATGTAAATAAGCCAAAATTCAAAGCCAAAAAGTTATGAACCCCATAGAAAATGTTTTCATATAACTTTTTTTGAAAGTAAATTGCTAGAAGCCCGTTTGAGATCTAGTTTTTTCGGTTATTTGCTCTAAAACCATTTGCCAGGAGCCTAGAATTTCGAGTAAAATGGCTGGAATTGCATTAAGCAGAACCAGAAAAGTACCCAGAACACTCTTATACTTTTTTTTGAGCTTTTTATAACCCCAAAAAAGTTAGTTAAGTTAAAAAGTTTATAAAAATCTTATAACTCCCATAAAAAGCTTACATCTCAATCCTGATTTTTAGTTTAATCACCCAACAACAAAACAACAACAATTGGGGAATCAGGTGATAAAACAAGTGTGCCAGAAGCAGTGTTTCCATTTTTTGAGCTTAAAGTAAATCTAATTCAAAGCAGCTTAATAGCTAATAGCTTTCATTGAACAAATTTTAGGCTTTACCCCTAATTTTTCTTCTTTCGATGCCTCGCTGTCCCATTTGTCCCGTTTGTTCCATTTGAAAGTTTTTCCAGATTTTCTTGACTTGGACGACTGTTTACTAAAGTTTTATTTTGCAGTGGTTGAAACTTGGCTTTGATAATAGTTTAGTTCCAACTTCCAATAATAGTTAATAGTTTTATGGGGAAAGTCTATTATCAACCAGTCAAAGATTGAATTGATTGGATAGATAAATACAGTCATGGACAAAACTCTTTTGTCCATCAATTTTTGTTTTATTAAAAAGTTCTTGGCACCTGATAAATTGTCAAATCCATCTTTTTGTAATGTTAAAATTAGAGATAATAAACTCTTTAAATCTTTTAACCGTTTGTCTTTTAAGTTGGTCGGATTTGGATCAAGATATATGAAGAACAAACTTCTAAAAACCAACGTTAAAAGACTTTTGTCCATGACTGTGAAACTAGAGACAAGTGTTGCTTGTTTTTAACCAGATATCATCAATTTTCCACTAGTTTCCACTAGAACCTACTTTTTGTGTCATTCTTCTGAATCCCATTCTCTTTCGAGTGCTCCTTTTTCAACGTTCCATTTGCGGGTTCATTTGCAGTGACTTTTGATCGACGACCGAAAGTGAATGAAATAGGGAAAGCGTACTCGTTGTTGAGCTGAAAAGTTGTTTTTCGATTGCAAGTCATGATAGATTCATGTAAAACTCACTTTTCCCTTTGATCCAGCCTCGAAAAACCATCCAAGCGGGAACCACAGCCTCATTCGGTTATCAGTGGCTGTCAAATTCGCATGATTGTAAGCGTAAGCATGATAGTACAAGAACATTCTAAAAATTCAAAAGATTATCGCTCTTGAACTGAAATTTACCTTGATGAGATGTAAAACGCAATGAAAACATCGATCGAGTAGTGCTCATGACCAGCGAGAATGAAGAAAATCCCGAAAAGGTTTAGCACCCAAGTCAATGTGTGAAGCAAGACCCAAGATGACGGTGTATCTAAAAAAACCCTCGTTTTCTATAATATCTTTACTTTCACTCACATTCAGTGATGAAATGGTTGAGCAAAGTGATTGCTGTGGTGTGACCGCTAAACATGTAGTCTCCACATGTTCGAACTCCCTGAAACGATCAATACGGCTGCTAAAAAACGTAAACGAGAGCTAGAAAACGGTCTTGAACTTGCAAAGAATCTATAGTTTAAAACAGCAAAACAAAATTGCAATTGTTCTATTCTCAGCCTCGTACCTGAATTGACATTCCCAATCGTGACCAAATGTGATACGCTTCCCACACTTTCTCCCAAATCGAGCCATGTCCCTAAAGAATAAGACTTTTAAGCAATCCTAAGAAGATTTTTTGAACATCCTAAGAAGGACTTAGACGTTAAAGGTACTGTAGCGAAGACAATACAGTAATCTAATGTATTAAAGTAGTCTGTAATAGTAGTACGATGATCTTTATAGGGTTCGGCATACAGTGTTGCGCTTAATGCATCGTTTTGGCTTTCTAAGACCATACATTAAACTAAGCTAAAAAACAACAATTAGTCATGAAATCTATGCGTACTTTGACATAGAATAGAAGAATTGTAAGATTTTTAATGAATTTGACAACCCTAGCAAAGCAGTACAAAAAATTCTATGCAACACGATGCTGAAAAACAGTTCAATTCGAGTTTTGGGTCTCTAAAAAACGTCTTTTTCTGCATTAATAGGTTTTTTTTGTTAATTACGATAAAAGTAGTGCTTTTTGAGCAAATTGCAAATGCGAGATTATCTTGGCTAACAAAAAATGGGCACATTTTTGAAAAATTTCATTTTTTTTGATGTTTAAAGTCGAAACAAATCAAGATTAGTCGAAACAAATCAAATTTTCACATAAAATTATGAATTTAGTAAAAATGTCCATAGATTTTAAAAATCTAAACAAAAAACTGTGAATTCTTTTGGTTTTTGAGAAAATCATCCTTTTGTAGAGCGCAACACTACGGGTTGCCCCAAAAGTTCTTATACTTTTTGTAAACGAACAGTTTCACTCGGAAAACACGCTATTTATGAAAAACTAATGCCGGATTAGGAAAATTTAGATATTTTTACCCCTACTCTACTTTTTTTTTGCATAAAACTTGCAACTCTAAACAACTTTTTGATGAGAATGTTTAAAGGTGGCTTTTTTGCTTTTGAGATTTGAGTACCCTTTGTCGAATCGCTTGGAAATCTTTCGTTTTTGGGATATAAATTTTGTTTGTAGCTTGTTTTGAAGAAAAAACTGCGGTCTATGAAATGGTAACAACAGTTTTTGGAAAAAATTTCATTCTCTAAAGTTTAAGTCAAGTTTCGCAAAAATCCCGACCAGATCCGGATGTAAAAAATCCAAGTGAAAAAGTTGCTAAGAGTTGAAATCTTTTTATGAAAATGGGCATATTTGGGTAAAGGAATACCTGAACTTTTAGAAACCGGTGTTAGTTTTCCGAAATTCATGTGTTTTTCAAACCAAAAAATCACTGCTGACAGAAAACGTATAAGAAATTTTGGGAAACTCTGTATATATACAGTATCATATATTAACAACTTACTTTTGCTCGACACTCCAAATGAACACCCGGAACGGATAATGAAGTGATCAACATGGTGATACATCTCAACAAGAACACCGAGCCGACCATCGAGAACATTCGTCGAGCGACAACTATTCTGAAAAAATGACTTTGAATCTTACTGTGACGAGTCACCAAAAAACTGCCGCAGTCTAATATGACACCAGAAATACCATACCCTAAATAATGTCGCGCTCAAAAGCGTATAAAAGAACGCTTTCCCCATCTTAGACAGAATTCTCTCATTTTGTCTTGTGAAAGTTGAATCCTTTTTGTTCCAGATGCTTCCAATTTTCATCAAAGTTATTCTTTTTTGTCTTTGGGTAAACACATTGTTTCTTTAAGCTTTTTAAAAACATTTTCACACGCTTTACTCCATGTTTATTGAATAAACTTGGTTTTGTTTTTCATTCAATCAAAAGCGCACAACTCTAGCCACATCTAGTGAGGAAAAGCACACTAATAATACAGGGGGAAATTAGTTTTGATACTTACTGTTTTGAAGTTTAGCTGTGTCACTACTTTCTTGATTTTACCGACGTGTTTGATTCTTGATCTTGTCATGATCTATTTTATGACTGACCTGTGTTTGTGGAAGAACAAAACGGTGAACCAAACCGTCGATAGAATCATCCCGATCACCTCACACATCTCGAAAGCCCAAGGGATAAGAGGCAAATTGTCCAAAACGATGTCCGGCAGTGGTGGGTACATCTTCATGTCTGAAAGTGGATATAGGTGAAAGATTATTTCAACCAGTTAGATTCAATGATTACACTGATAGAAGCCGATAGTAAGGCACAAGGCCCTACCCTCATACACAAGGCAATGAGATACGTGTCGGTGTAGCTCATTGGTAGAGCGTTCGCCCGGTAAGCGATAGGTCTCGGGCATCGATTCCCCGGCACCGACCATGTTTTGTATTCCCACCCCCAACTCATAAAAGAACCGGCGTGTCCAACTCGATAACAATTTCCGGTTTCAATGAACAAACCTGGCACTCGATCGTGCACGACAACCATCACAAAAGAGGTGAAGAGAAGTGCCACTGAGCAGTAGAGAAAAGCTATCACCAATTTGGCGAAACTCTTGAAAGCGGTGTCGGGTGACTGAAAGATTATTTTAAAATCTTGTGCTGGCTTAAGTTAAGCTTTAGTTTTAGACTTTAGACTTAAATTGTACTCAAAAATTCTGTTAATTAGACCATTCTTGGAAGTACCGGGCGTTCCAAAATTTCGGCACAAGCATTTTTGTTTGTAAAACCGGTTAGGCCCAAACGATTAAGCAGAAAATTTGCATAAAGATTTGTGAGAACACTATAAATAAAATATCAAAGTTTGAAGATTGTATTACGTTTCAGAAGTCAGAGCACCAAGCAAAAAGTTATGCGTGCGTGCCGAGACTTAAATTCTGGCGCTAGAATCTTGCAAATAATTTTGCCGAGCCTTGCCCTACAATCTTCAAACTTTTATATTTTATTTATAGAGTTCTCACGAGTTTTTATACAAATTTCTGCTTAATTGGTTGCTTCTAGCTGATTTTACAAACAAAAATACTTGTGCTCAAACTTTTGGAATACTCTGTACTCACATTGGTTTTCAATAGTTATAATAGTGTTTACATTTATCAAAATTTGTATGCAATTCCCAGCTTCTTCAATTTTAATTTTATTTAATTGCTTGTTAACTTTCATATCACTCACCTCAACAGATCGTATCAACTCCTCTCTTGAAATCAGATGAATCCCATGCACATCACCAACCGTTGCAAGGGTGTCCGCTAAGGATTCATCTCTGAAAAGAAATTTATGAGAAAAATCTGACATAGAAAAAGATACTAGTACCTGAGCTTACTTAGGGATTATAAGCCCTGCGGTCTTAATATGTGATTATGTTACAAGCCTAAACCGAACTCTAGGAACTGGTAATGATCCAGGAAATGGGGGTTAGCCCAAGCCCAAATAAACTTAGTGCAAGGCGCTAGCCGCTAGCCTTTGCACTAAGTCCAATCCTGAGCCTGAGCCTGAGCCTGAGCCATTTTTCAGAGTTCCCTTCTTCAACTCGCAATCCAGACAATGGGTTTATGCAAAGATATCGCCTTATGCAATAGATGTCATTTTTTGCGGGACCTATAACCATATATCAAGACCGCGGGACTTATAAACCCTTAAGTACCAAAATTTATAAAAATTTAAAAGTAATTGAAATGAAATTTATAAAACAATGAAAATCTAGCCTTTCAGTAATCTAAAATGCATTCAAATTTCAAATAAACTTGTAAAACTTGCAAAAAATGATCTAAATTTTATTTGGATAAGATAGAAAGTTATTTTAGTAGTTTAGTTTTGAAATAAATCAATTCGGTTAAGCCAAATTTGTTTTTAAAGTTTTTACAAAAAGTTGGCTTCTCTATCACTATTTAACCGAAAAGACCTTGTGCTTTTATCCTAATTTTTAAGGAAACCAAAACCATAACAGTCGACCTGGACGCTACAAACAAAAATGATGAACTGTCGAGCTACAAACGCGCATAACTTGCTTCTCATAAATCCTTTTTCAGATATTTTTTTACCAGAATGTAGAGAAAAGAAATCTCTTTCAAATGGTATATAAAGCTCTAAGAGACATAGCAGACACATCGTAAAAACTTTTAAAATGTCGCAAACTACAACTGGTCCGATTCGAGTCATAGTCGCTAAACATTTTTGAAGTTTTTACGATGTGCTTGTTATGTCTCTTAGAGCTTTATATACAATTTGAAAGAGATTTCTTTTCTCTACATTCTGGTAAAAAATATCTGAAAAAGGATTTATGAGAAGCAAGTTATGCGCGTTTGTAGTTTGTAGTGAAAGATCTAATCAAAAGTGCCTTTTAAGTTAAGTATATTCAAATAATAGTGATTTTTAATCAAAACTTGTGCAACTCACGTGATCACAGCCGTTTCTATCGTTTTAATCGGAACACTCTTGCCGGCGACCTCGATTTCTTTTGTCGACTCATAATCAACACATAACAACACGTCTTCAGACTTCTTTGAGTCAATATTTCCGGAATTATAGCGCTAAAGAGTTTTAAGATAATAAATATCGTTTTATATTGAGATATATTGGAAAATATTGGCTCAAAAACCTAAACACATCACCATTCCGGTGCACTCAATTTCTACTAAAGTAAAACTATTAGAGTATGCGAGAAAAAGTGTGCTTCTATCTTTAAGTACAAAGAACAGTTGAAACTTTATCAACTTACACTTCTCAATTGGGCTATTTCCAATCCCAGTCGTTTAATATCTCCCAAACATGTGATCTGAAGGGGCTTCTCTCGGAGATCATCCTCCGTCAAAAGGAGTAGGATTTTCCCATCGATCTGAAAGTTAGATTCATATACAAGAATGTCAATTGATCATGTACATACTATAAATACTTTAATAAAACGTCATCTCCTCGTATAATCGCATAGTCTAGCTTCTTTTTAGAAAATCAGCTTCGAAAACTTTTCCCTAGATTTTCCCGAGTTTCTAGATCTTGCCCAACTACGCTTTTGGTATCAAAAAATACTAGATTTTAAGAGCTATAATTTGATACCCTATCGCATACTGTAGCCTAAGCCAGTGCGGAGAACGGGACATTCAAAGTTAGACTACGCGATTGTACGCCCATCATTATGGGCTTTTGGAGTCTTTAAAGTATTTTCAAATGAAAAAGCAAATTCAAATTTGGCTTGCTTGCTACAAGATTTTCATCATAATTCTCTTTGAGGGTTACTCTTTTGAATACTTTCTTTGTTTATAATCAAATCTGCAAAGAAACTGACAGATTACAATAAATCTACGAATAGCTTTACAAAGTAGTGCTATCAGTTCTTTTTACCTGATGTTCATCAGCTATTAAACGAGAATATTTCTCGAAGCCCTTGTTGAGCAACCAACGACGTACGTCGTCAGTCGTCCATCTAAAATTTGCATAAAAATTATCCTTTCTATTACAGTATTATGCATACCGTATTTTCTCTAATAGTAGTGCACCATGAGCGTCGCCTAAATTGCTCGAAATCTCGAGAACTACTTATCAGAACCTATCGATGTGGGGTCGGATAACGTAGCTGAGGATGAGATCTTGTGGGGATTAGAGTGTTGAGCTTCTGGGAAAACTTGGAAACCGTAAAACAGTCATGAACTCGGCTCGCCAGGGTGCACTACTATTAGAGAGAATACGGTACTTTCTGACATAATCACTCAATTCTGTATTGCCTCACAACATCAAATGTGCTTTGAGATTGCTTGATTGCTTTGAGAAAACTTTCTCTCATAGTCAGAAAAATAAAGGAATACAGTGCGTTTCAAATTCTTAAACGCACCCTCTAAAATAGCGGATTTTGCATTTTGACCACCGCTACAACTATTAATTTTTTTCTATCAGAAAGAGCATGTCTTAAAACCTAAAAAGCACAAAAAATAAGCATACTGTAAAAAATAAAAATTTTCAAAATAGAAACTTTTTGGTAAATCAACCGTTTCAAATTCTTAAACGCACTATGAAAATATGTTGATTTCTCGACACAAATTAAAAATCAAAGGTAAAAAATCAAAACTAATAATCTGTACAGGCACCAGAACGATTAATTACTTGAAAAATGCGGTCTGGCATTGAATTGATGAGGTTTTGGGGAGCAGAGACATCGAGATAGCTCCAGACCGAAAAAATTGCTGCTTTAAGTGTAGAAACGTCTTGAAACTGACGATGATTCTTGTAGACATCTCGGACAAGTATTTCCCATAAATTTTCTATCGGATTGAGGTCAGGAGACTGAGCGGGCCAGTCCAAAGTTGCAATGTTGTTGCTGTTCAGCCAGCCTCGGGTGTCTCCGGCTCGATGAATTGACGCGTTGTCGTATTGAAACAAGTCCGGAACGGTTGGATTTAGGAGCAAAAACGGCGACAAGCAATTGTTCAAGATATCTATCTAGTCATCCGATTCGAAACCATCTTCAGAGCGACCGTTCCATCAGCACAAAAGGCGGCCCAAACCATCACAGAACCACCGTCAAAGTTTTGAGTTCCAAACACCATCGGATCACGTCGAAGATCCCTCCAATAGTAGTCAACGCCATTGGGACCATCCCAATTCCATTTCTTCTCATTGGAAAAGATCACCTAAACGCAAAAAAAATAATAAAACATAAGCGGCTTTCTAACCATAGACCAATCCTGATTCATATGAGCCTTGGCGAACTCCAATCGGGCTTTCTTGTGCAAAAGCTTCACGGCCGGTTGCATGTTCAATAATTGTCGATCGATATGTGGATTTTCCGTGACGGCTCGCCAAATTGTCGACTTCGAAGCGTCGATTTTCAGTTCCGTTTTCACTTCATTGATCGTTTTTCCGTGGATTTTGTTCACAATATGCGTCTAGCTCGCGGCGTAAGCTTTGGTTTTGGTCCTGGCTTCTTCTTTGGTGCAGAAACGAACTCGGACTTTCTATAATTTCGCACGGCAGAGTCGGATCGGCCCAAATTTTTCGCGATTTTCCTTATTGAGTCGCCAATCCTCAAATGGGCATCAATCTGGCCTTTATCATAATCCGTAAGCAGCTTTCCGTGTGCCATTTACCTGGAAATTAACAAAAATTATAAATTTAATAAAAAAATATGCACAACAAAACGAAAAATTTCAAATAACAACAGCAAAGGCGGGTGCGTTTAAGAATTTGAAACGGTTGATTTACCAAAAAGTTTCTATTTTGAAAATTTTTATTTTTTACAGCGTGCTTATTTTTCGTGTTATTTAGGTTTTAAGACATGCTCTTTCTAATAGAAAAAGACTAATAGTTGTAGCGGTGGTTTAAATGCAAAATTCGCTATTTTAGAGGGTGCGTTTAAGAATTTGAAACGCACTGTACGTGCCCTAGAAAGAGTGTGTTTACATTTTTAAGATCGTCTGTAGGAAAATTCAAAGTACCGTATTCTCCCTAATAGTAGTGCACCCAGAGCGAAATCTCGAAAAGCGCTTATCAGAACCTATCGATGTGGGGTCGGATGTAGCTGAGGATGAGATCTAGTGGGGGATTAGAGTGTTGAGCTTCTGCAAAAGCTTGGAAACCGTAAAATAGTGACCAACTCAGCTCGCCAGGGTGCACTACTATTAGAGAAAATACGGTAATAGTCAAGATTTCAAACAGTTTTTTCTAAAAAAAAAATTTCTTTCTTTACCTCAACACATCGCTCGCCGTCTCCGTTCTATAGGTCATTCAATGAGCCAGAATTCTGGAAATTAAGAAAATTGAGGTTATAAGCTGTTTTTTTACATAAAAAAATAAATCATCATATTATTTTCATATCTAAAAGTTTCAGAACAAAAAAAAGAGCTAAAACTGAGAGCTCAGTTGGCTCCAAGACAAAAAGAGAGAAGAAGAGAAAAAGCTGAGCCGTTTGTTCCAAAAAAAGAGATAAAAACACTGACATTAGAGAAAAGATAAGAAATGTCTTCAGAAAATGGAAAAATTCGGCTTTTTGATGATGATTCATTTTGACTTTTGATTTGACTGAACTTTTGATTCATTAGAATTCTACTAGAAGTTGTAAGAATGAATAAACTGCTTGTAAAACCTGTAAAACTTTTAGCTGACATCACTGATTTGTGAAATTAACAACTCTGTGCCACAAATTGCCTGTAAACGATTTGCCTTCATCTAGAATAAGACAGAAGAGAGCCTTTTCTAACCATTGATGAATGGGTAAAGATTCATTTTGCCACTTTGTTGACTTTCCGAGAAAAGCAAATTACGTGTAAATCGAGAATTTCCTTCTCTTTTTTCCCGCACGTGGATCATTGCCTTTTCTTTCATTCTTTGCCACATCACACGCGAAAACAAGAAACAAATGCTATCATTTTTTGGAAACTTAATAGCTTTTTGCGTGTTTTGATTCAACAGCATTCTTTGCTTTATCAAAAAAGCAGTTTAAAGCCTGTTAAACGAAACCTTAGCTTTGGTCAACAGAAGTTGTCCATTTGACCATTTGTCCTTTTCAATTTACATTTGTCTAAAGTTCGCATTGATTACGTTGATTACTAGCGACGGTACAGTGAACTTTCTAATTAAGTTTATCAAACATTTGCATTTAAATCAGAGCAAATGGTACCGAAAAGTATATCAAGATTTAATCTAGTGTTTAAACTCGCTTGAGCAAACATTTGCCCAATTTTCAAAACCATTTGAAAAGTTCGATACTAGACTGTAAGCAAGGCAAGGGTAAAACCCACAGAAGCCAAATTCAAAGCTTTTTTTGAACCAAGCTTGCAGTAAAGGCAGGTTAAGATCTGGATTTTGGTCTAGCCCTGGTCTAGCCCTCTTGCAAGCTTGGTTAAAACAAAAAAAGCATCCTGATAGCAGTAGAAAAGTTTCCTAAACATTGAGAAATCAAAATTGTTGAAAAGAAATCAGAATTCTAAACAAAATCGTTGAAAAGAAAAGAAAATTCTAAACAAAATCGTTGCTCAGTCATATCAAAAGTACAAAAAATACGATGAATCACTGCAGACAATGTTTTACAATCAAAAAATCGAAAAAATAAAGCAGGAAAATGAAGGAGAAAAATGACAGTGTGATGCCACGAGGAGATGGACGACGATTTTAAGGAGAGTATGTCAATGAAGTGCGAGATTGAGGAGAGGACGATGGGGAAAGGGACGACCTCTCCCCTCTTCCCACCCCTTTCCCTTTTTCGAACGCAATTGCATGGCATCAAAGAGAAAAGTCTCTTCCGGCTGGCAAAGAATACGGTAGTTTCAGCGCCTTTTAGCCGCCGCTCGTGCTGATTGTCCTTTGCTTCAAAAAGCGCTTATAAATGAACACAATGTTAGCGAAGAATTCTAAAACTCCATCGTTTCTAACAAGAATTTGAAATCGCTGAGAACTCAGTGAAGCTGATAGAAAGTCAAACTATTAGCTTAAAGGAAAGATCGAATTAGACCGATTCTCAATAAAACCAATTTATCGCGGATAGTAAAGTGTTAAAGGAAAATTTTTGAATAAATTTATCTAAAAGCTTAGATTAATTAAATCCAAATTCTAATTGATAGAATCGATAAAATGAATAGCTTCAATCGATTCCCTGTCACCGAAAGCCCCTGGGTACAAATTTACAACTGAATATCTTTTTTGGGCCATCTACAAAGCAAAAGAAAAATCACTGTGTAAATCACTGAAAATGTTCTTTGTGCGAAGTGTTCTTTGTGCGGCTACGTAATCACTCGCGACGTGGCAAACCGATTCGGTATAAGAGGCTTTCCTATTGGAATCGGTCACAGTAATTCACTGGGTTTATCGGTGAATTCACTGGAAATTCACTTTTATTTTAATGGCACGAAATTCAATGAATCCACAGTGAATTCACTAGGGTTCCATAGGTTATTCCATAGGAAACGTCACTGGGATTTCAGTGAAGTAAAAGAGTTTCGTCACTGACTCACTGGGATTTCAGTGAATTTCATAGAAATAAGGAAAGAATAAAGAACTCAATATTCCATATGAAATTTACCATTATTTCAATGCCAAAGTCAGACCAAAACAGCGCCTAACGAGCCTCACGGCGGGCTTTTTTTGGTGACTGGATGTTTTGGTGCTAACGCATAGTTCGATCTCTCGAGTTAAAGGAACATCTCAAATTTTTGCCTGCTTCAACTTCACTCCTGAAAGCATTTAAAGTAACAAAGTTTGGAATGGATGGGAATCGAACTCGACACCCCTTTGGGGCAAGCGTTTTGTAGACGGACGGTAACCACTACGCCCATGTTTTATGCTTACAATATTTGAGTTTTTCTGGGATGGAAAATGGATGCAAAATTGAAAAAGTAATCAACAAGTACCTAGAAAAGTGTAAACTTTCAGGCTCTGAAGTTAAAAAAGCTTTAAGCTAAGAATTCAGTATACCATTCAGTATACCATTCAGTATACCTACAAACTACAAACTTTAAAACCTTCCACATTTTTAGAGTTAAACTCGTCAAAGATTGCATTCTAAAGTATGTACCTTTATAAGTTCTAGCTTTAAATCCATCTTTCCGACGTGTTTTCGTTCTCTACACCTCTTTGGCGCTTTTCGAAAAATAACAGAGTTGTTTACGCGGCTGGCTGGCTTGTTTTTCGGTTTTCCCCTTTTCCCAACAAAATTCACCCATTTCTTCACTGAATATCATTAGTTATTTCAAAGATTTGTCTCAAATTATTGAACTTTTTTTCAAACCATGACAACTCGCTCAGATATATCAATTTTCTATGCCTATTTTTATGATTTTGAAGAAGCGCTTGACATTTGGAGGTACCAAAGTCCAATTATAACTAATTTTTACATTTATAAAGTCTTACTAGATGATATTCTATTTTGTTTAAATTATCTAATTTCTAGGGAGAAATTCAACCGCACAACTGGTCACCTTGAGTCTTGGCAAGTCGTTTGCTACACATTCTCGCTGATTTTTTTCGTTTCATGGCTCAGGTTAGTTTAAAATTTGCCGAATAAGAAGTTCAAAGGTTTATCAAAAACAAAACTATTAAAATAGTTTAAAATTAATTTCATAAGCTATTCAATTACTCAGGAAACAAGTCAGATTAGTAAGAAGTGCTTTAATGGCAGTTTTAATAGCATTTACACAAAGTCTCTTTGATTTCGTAATTTGCAACAAAACAAAACAACTGATTGCAACAAATTCCAAGTTGGATCGACTGGAATTCAAAAAATGCCAGTCTATGCAAAATGCCAATTTCTCATATTTCAAGTTAAAGTTAGTCTGGCTTCAAGTGGGTGACGATATAACTCAAAGAAAAAGAATAAGATTTAAAAAAACTGTACCAGAAATTTATTTACTTAGCAAATGTAAGGTCGCGTCCGTTTCCTTCCTATTTGCGTTGCTATTTTGCAATTATTCGCGTCGCATTTTTCGTCCTTTTTCTCCCTTCCCGAAATTATTTTTTTTTGGTCTACGGGTTTTTTTGCCTTCTTTCTCAGGGGGAACTTTGTTGTTTCATTTTTGATGCGCATGCTGTTTTTGTAATAGGTATTGTTGCATTTCGGTTCTGTACTAATAAACAGTAACGTTATAAATTCACTTTACTTTGTGCTACCCTTCAGGTTTTAAATCCTGTTTAGATAACTGGTTTAACATTGTAAAGAGACTGGTTTTACTAACATTTGTGTCACCATCGACGTAGTATCAATCCGATCTGTACTCTTCTCAAGAGTATTAATCTATTGTTGGATGCTACGTGTTCTTGTTACGTTGTAAGCGCTTTTGGGGGAAACCCTTTTAACCTTTTGTGCTATTCGGTCATTCTTAAGCAGAATCATCCTCGTTGATAATGTTAAAGCGGGTCGCACCCCAAACTGTAAATAGTAAATTGTATTGATTAAAGATTAAAATGTATGAAAAACGTTCAGAAAGATTCTCTCATCCGAACACTCAATCGCCGATCGTTTACTTCGATCCACTCATTCAACAGTTCGTTCACTGCCATGGGTTCGACCAAAATTCAAACAAATTATCGGTCTAGCAAGAGCGCATTTCGAAGAAGAGATTCATAAGGATGATTTTGTAAGTGTAAAAACTTATTAAGTTGAGTCTTTTTATCTTTTATTATTTATTAAACTATCTATGAGTTTTTAGCTCCGCGAGTTCTACAAGTTTTTACCAGAAAGAGGCTTAGATAGCAAGGATCTTCAAAGAGAGGCCAGGTAGTTTTAGATTGATCAATAAAATCAATGAAATCATCAACTCACTGTCATTGTTTCAAGTTCAAAAGTTCAGAGAATATTCAACGATGGGCCAATCGATCACCCCAGCCTCGACGATGAGCGCTGAAGAGAATGAGACGCTCAGGATTACACAAGAGGTACAGAAAAAGCTAGAAATCATTTCAAATGAAAATTAACACTTTTCGATCTTAGCTATTCAAAATTTGCATTTAAGGACGAACACCGGCTTTATTTACAAGGTATTCAATATTTACGGCGACTTCTTTTTGGAAGCTTTCTATTAGCTATTATTCTTCTAGCTCCCAGGCGCCAATTTCAATCCTAATGTGTTAAATGTTAGATAACATATTGAAGCCCTTAATCTTGGCTGTATTTATCTATTAAAAGTTTCCCGATTGGCGATACACAACTCATTTTACAAGCCCTTGAATGAGTACTAGTTGATCCCTCAGCGGAGCCATTTTTGACGATCTTCTTTATAAAATTATTCTTCAATTAGAAAGAGTTTCTTTTAGCCAAATTTGTGGATTTTTGTTTAAAAATCATTTCTAACAAATTTATAACAGATAACAAGAAGTATATATGAAATGAACATTGAAAAATACTTAATTTTCACTTCTTTCCTTGCGCCACTAAAGAAACTTGACGTTTAATTAAACTTTAGTAAGATAGTTTGGTCAAAAACAGTTTTTAATGCTATTAAATGATGCTAAATAAGATTTTGGCATAAAATAAATATCAAAAAACTTTTGCTGACAATTTATTAGAATGAAAATCACCAAAAATGGCAGAGATTAACTAGTACTCATTCAAAGGGTTGTAAAATTAGTTGTATACCTCCAATCGGGAAATATTAATAGATAGATATAGCCAAGATTAAGGGCTTCAATATGTTATCTAACATTTAACACATTAGGGTTAAACTTGGCGCTTGGGAGCTAATTACTCTACATGAAAATCTACAAACTGACGACGAGCTAGCCAAACAATCAGCTCAACTATCTAAACAAGCTAGACTAGTTTTAGATGCAAATTTTCCTAGAATTCAACTATAAGTTAGCCAGGCAAAGCAAGAATCTGAAAACATTAACGTTTAGATTACCGCAATGTTTTTGAGAAACGGCTCACTGAAAGGCATTCGCAAAATGGAGGCCGAGATCGTGAAAATGGTAACTTTTTGATCTTAAATTGCATGAGTTCTATCATTTTCAAGATTCAGTTTTTTAAGATTTTCTTCAGTTAAGAATATCAATTGTATTTTTAGATATCCTCAATGCTGCACGCGGGTCATGGCTCCACTGGAGTGGTCACAAATGGAAACACGGAATCGATTCTTCTCGTTTTATATGGTAAATCTATCTTTTCAAAGGGTTATGTATTGGGTTGGTGAATTGAAAACTGTCGGCTATTTCGCGGGACTCGTAGATAAAAAACAACAGCATTGAACCAGCTGGAAGGGGGTTTGGTTATTTCAACATTTCCTCTAATTATTGCGAAAAAATTATGCTTCCAGCTTTTTATTTTTTGATATTTTTCTTCACTTCTTCTGTTGCACTCGACAATCTGCCACCGGGATATATTCGGCATGTCATGCTTCATGAGTTCCTACAAGAGCACAGTGCAGGCTTGGCAGCTGCTAATATTAAAAAGATATATGGGGAGGACTCAGCTTCCAAAAGAACGTGTCGAGTATGGTTTGCCAAGTTTCGATCTGGGGACAAATCTTTGAAAGATGCAGAGGACCGTGGAGCGGCACCCCAACTGGATGACTCCAAATTACTCGAACTCATTACTAACGACCATCGGGTATCATCGCGTGCATTGGGAGAAGGATTCGCGGAAGATCATGCTACAGTGCTAAGGCACATTCATACCCTTGGATTTAAATCGAAACTTGGGGCTTGGGTGTCCCATGACCTCAATAACCCCAGAAGTGGCAGCGCGCCTCCATCAGTGCCGCTCATCCCTCACGATACGAAAGGAAATCCTTTCTTCCTCGAATTGTGATAGGAGATGAGAAATGGGTTTTATCTGTGAACTTTCGGAGCAAGCGGCAATGGGTTGGTCCAGGCGACAAACCCGAAAGTGACCAGCCCCAAGCCCGATTTGCACCAGAAGAAGTTTATGCTCTGCGTTTTCTGGGATATGGAGGGAGTGGTGTACTGGGAGTTGCTCGATAGCAAGACAACCCTTAATGCAATCAAATACAGTGAACTGTTGGAAAAGGTGAATGAATCCCTGAAGAAGAATAGGCCCTCCAAGTCAAAGATCGTTCTCATCCACGACAACGCGCGCCCTCATGTTGCAAAACTAACTCGCTCTAAAATAAATAGCCTTGTTTGGGAACTTTTGGCGCATTCCCCATACAGTCCGGACCTCGCCCCTTCTGATTACTATTTGTTCCGGATCATGAGTAATGAGCTTGCGGGAGAACACTTCGATTCGGAAGAAGCAGTCAAAAAAAGGCTTTGAAAGTTTTTCGATTTAAAACCAAAATCCTACCACGAAAGAGGTATCCGCAAATTGCCTGTAAAATGGGCAGAAGTCGTCAATAGTAATGGAAACTATTTGGAATGAATTTATGGTTTTATGTTAAATAAATTTTAGTTCAAAGTCCCGCAGTTTTCAATTCACCAACCCAATAGTTTAAGTGTATAAGAAGATCAAATTCAAACCATAAGAAATAGATTAAAGGCAAGATTTTCAATTTGAAGCTCAATGTTCAGGAGCCAGACGGCGAGCTGCAAGCCTGGCAATCGAGCATCCAGAGGTTTTACTCCCCGCATCCGCTCATCCCGCTTTCACCCATGTGGCTAACCTGTTGAAGATATCGATAATCAGGTAAATCAAATAAAAATCCAGTTAAATATCTGTGATACTTTAGAGTCCCTGTTGATAAAGACGACAAAGTTGATGTGCTGCGACTGAAGCGGAGAATCTCCTCATCGACAGCGCTCATCGTTGTGTCAGCTCCGAATCATTCGACCGGCACAATGGATGATGTTTCACGAGTCGCTAAGGTTAGCTAAAGAAAATAGAATTGTAAAATCAATCCTGTCAATGATTTTGTCATTTGATTACCCTAGAATCAGGTATGGGAATTTCAAGATGACTCAAAAGTCTTTATCACAAAATTTTCCAATCTTGTATCACTTTTAACTATTGTAAATTGAGATCTCTTCTCAATACAATGTGCCTCTTCATGTGGATTCCTCTTTGGGCGGTTTCCTTTTGCCATTTCTTGAACTCGCTGATATCCACTATCCACATATCGATTTCCGACTCGCCGGTGTCACCTCAATGGCTCTAGATATTGATGGGGTAAAGACTCAACACTAAAATCATCAACAAATCAACAAGCGAAACTATATTTAACTCAAAATACTAGTAAACTTCTTTCAGCATGGAAAATGCCCTCAAAAAGCCTCGGCGTTGATCTTCCGTGATGAGGCGTGGATCAAATGTCACACTTTCATCGATACAAAGAATCGGATCGGAGTGAGTGACTTGGTTCTTGGCTCAGGAGTTGGATACAGCTTCTCAAATCTTATCTAATGGTCAAAAGAATCTTTTAAAAAGTTGATGTTAAAGGGATCAAAGTTGGGTTTTTCGTTGTACACCTTTTAATGATTCGGTGTGACTTTTCTGATGTCTAGTGCTGGTTCTAGAGCCAATTTTCCAGCTCAGATTAAGCCAGGCTACCTCAAACCAAGGTCAACTATCATATAAAATCGAAAATTTGCATATTTTTGCCAGTTTCAGCTTAGCTTTCCGATAGGTAGAAGTCAAAAAGAGAAATCATATTCTTGTGCTTCTCATTCAGCAGTTTAATATGTAAATTGACAAATTTCGATAAGCACAGTGTCGATTTCTCTGCTCACCAAAGTCATTGTTTAATTCAGATCTACACAGCTCGTACATTGCACTCATTTCGAGATCCGGCAACGATTTCTTCTGCTTGGGCGACTCTACTTTCAACGGTAAGTTATCGACAACAGAATTTTAAACCTCTGAAATATTTGTAAAGAATTCTTAAGGATTACTACGGTTTAAAACTTTATTGGTACTTCCAGGGTCGAGATGGCTACGTTGACTCAACAAGTATGATCGTTGAAACGTGCAGAAAATTGATTGAATTGCTCAAAGGTGCTTTTGAAATTTCTAGGCTTAGAAACTTTAGCTCTTTCCAGAAACGTGATCTTTTGGCCAAAAAAGTCAGTTTCATGGTTTTTCGTCAAAAAAAAGTCAGTTTTACACTTCGGGGACGCTTCGGGAACTTTGAGCAATCCAACACAAAGACACCGGCTTGTTCTACCACTTTGGAAGCACTTCAAAAAATCAAACAACGGACCAATAAGAGATTTGGAAGTGGATCATCGATGGATCATTTTACGGCAATGTCTACACACAAGATGGCAACAAAATTTTGCCTATATGGGGCGTTTTTCACTGGATTGCTAGTGAATTAATTAATGAATTCACTAGGATTTCAGTGAGAAACACCCCATATAGGCAAATTCACCGTGTTTGCAATGAAAAACTCTCTAGGAACTTGAAAAGATTCAACCAACCCCTCGATTTACAGTCGATGATATATTGTTTTTCCACTGGAATCCTAGTGAATTTTGTGTAGTTCACTGGGATCCTAGGCTGTAGAGGAAACCCTCGTCGTGCCAATATTTTAAAACCATGGTTGTTGCCTATCTTGTAAAAGCATCTGGAAATCTTGAAAGTAAAAACAGGGAAAATGCAACAAACTGAAAAGACCACGAAACTGACTTTTGTTGGCGAAAAGAGCCAGAGCTTCATACAAGATATATCTTGATATCTTCAGAAATCAAAGAGATCGAAATTCTCGGCTCTCCCGATCTTTGCCTTGTATCGTTCACGACGAATATCGTCGATGTGTATGCGCTTGGGGAGAAGCTTATTGATGAGGTTAGAGAAATATTTTGAACTTGCACATCACCTTTTTGCAGATTTCAACTGATTTCTTTGTTCTTATCCTATTCCTTGTCCTATTCCTACCTTACCTTTTCCGAATTTTGAGCTGAAGTCATTTTTTGCCAAAAGGTTTAAAAGATTCAATGATAGGGTTTAGATTGCGGTTAAAAAGCTTTGTGAATCTGCTTTATTCTAAAAATTGTAGTGACAACTGTTACAATTAACTCCAATAAGAAATTCAGGACTGGAAGCTGGAGATCGGTGCGAATTGTCTCCGCTTACCGATCACTCTCGAGCTCTACGAAAAGAATCGAATACAAACTTTTGTCGCTGATCTTGAGGTAAATTTGTGAACTTTAATTTTATATTTTTCCAGCTTTCAATTTAATCTATTAAGTTTTTAAATCAGTTTTTGATCTAATAAATCATTTTTTTTTGCTGCGTAAAGAATTTTTGGTATTTCAGGATGCAATCTCGGCCCTTTTAATCGACACAACCTATGCCTCGGAGAGCAAAACCGCAGCCTTACATAGAATGATTGAATCGGTGAATGTTGTTAGCTAATCCTTAATTAATCAATTTAAATCTATCAAGTTTTTGATCGAATTTAGACAATGGACCATTGGCTTGTTGAAGAGATGCTACGAGCAAAGCTTTTAGCCGAACACTCGACGCCGGCTCCAATCGAGAGAACACACTTGAGATCGGTGAGTGACTGAAAAAAGAAAGCCTCTGGTGAGTCCAGGAACTAGGCGAAGTCTAATTGTAGGCCAAGTAAGTCCATGTTTTAGGTGATCAGTTCTGTACAGTAGACCTGTAACAAAAACATCTGTCGGTCCTTTTTTTGCCGTTGGCAATTTAAGATTTTTCGTGCTTTTTTCCAGCACCAACCCTTCAATTTTGACTATTTTGACTATCATAAAATTATGCAGAATAAAATTACGCGTCCAATGATACCAAAATTAACTCAAAATTTAATATCCATGAAAAGTTATGAGGCAAAAGGTAAAGTCCCGCCCATCGGGGTTTAGGTTTTTAGCCAACAACTTTGCGTGGTTATTACATTTTGAGCTAATTTTGGTATCATTCGAAGCGCAATTGTAATAATAGAATAATTGAATAATATTGAATAATAGTCATTGAATAATAGTCAAAATAGTAAAAATTGAAGGGTTAGTGCTGAAAAAAAACCACGAACCTTATTGAAACCAATATTTTTTAAGGATAGAAACCGATAAAAGAGAAATCAACTCAAAAACTTTAAAAATTGATTTTTAAAGAGATATTAAACAAGAAAAACTATTTTCTTTTAAAAAGATCTCTATGGGCATAGTGGCATTTGGGAAATCCATCCAGGGCCAAATGATAAGCAGGATCGACTCTATCACATGCTCTTTGAAGATATTTCTTAAGCGAATCAATGCTGGAATGCGGTTTTGAGCAATTTTTGCTTCAAGAACATTCCAAACACTGAAGTCTATCGGATTAAGATTAAGAGAATGGCTACTAAAAGTGGCCAAATCGAGAAAATGCTGTTCTGAACCAGTCGAGCTTTGTGAGCATAAACATCATCCTGCATAAAACACCAAATCCTGTTGCCAAAGTGATTTTTCGGCTCACGGAAGGAGATCTTTCTTAAGTTTGTCAAGATAGTTGTTGGAACTAACATTGATGCCCTAAGGCGGTTCCAATAATCCTGCCGCACCCTGTAGTAAAGCCAGAAATGTCAGCCTCTTGTTTTGCCTTTGTAACCCAGGCAAGTCGAATCGAGGCAATGTTAAGGCCAGATTCTGCTCTGACTTCTGGGCCAAAATATTCTGGTTCACCAAAATATTTACCATTGACCATCTAGCATTTTTCCTAAACCGATTTAGCAGTTTAGCGTTTACCAATTTTGCTAAATCGATTCACCAATTTAGCATTTAGCAACTTCGCTAAATGCTAAATGCTGAAAATTGGCTAAATTTTGGCTTGTTTTGTAGCCAAAGTATGTTGGAGTTCGAATCTGTGATTGATTTTCTTGATATCTTTGTTCAGAGGAGAGCTATAAGTGTTTTTCGGAGCTGGCGGCGCCGCTAAACACCCTCGGAGATGTTTAGCAAAACTCAAGGTCCACTAAAAAGCTTGGTTGACTTAAGCCTAAGCCTAAGCTTGATGGACCTAACACTCTCGAAGGTGTTTAGCAAAAAAAAAAATTTAGTAAAATATTGCTATATGCAAACTTGCTAAATGCGTTGGTGGACCCATTGAATTTTGTAAAACGGAAGTTTACTCTTTAGCAGTTCTTGGATCCAGGCTTTGGCGGGTAAACTGTAATTTCTGACAGTAAAGCCAGAAAAAGTCAAACCACACGGACAACTTGCCTTTTGCTATCAATCAACATTTCAACAAAACTCGCCAATTTCAGATCAGCATCGACGGAAGAAAAATGTCGACAATTATTGAGAAATAGCTTTTCATATGTAAATTTCCAATAAATAATCATATCTTTATTTGCTTATTATCTCAAAAATGACATCACAGAATACCCATATCGGTTTCGTCCACGGAACTTTTGACTTAATGATATACAACTTTGAAAAAAACGCAAACGCAAGGGATCTATTACAGCAAAAGTTTTCTTAAAAGTATGCTAGATTCCTTGCGTTTACGAAAAAACACAATAACAGACTATTTTAAGATTAGGGCACATTCACTGAGCGGAAAAGTTTTAAAACAAAACAAATTTCAATTGTTTAAACCATTTTCTCATACCATTTTTGGGGTTTCCGATTGAAATGCTTCTGAAATTGGCGGTTGAAATTTGAATAAAATAAATGAACAAACCTTTTCTACGTATTGACATAAACAGTATTGCTTCTTGCAGTGTTTTGGAGAGAAATCACTGACACCGTGCTGGGGTCGAGATGGGAAATTGATTCGGCCCTGGAAATTCGATCGATCGTTTTGTTTCGAAAAGTTACTGCAAAGCACAGGCAAGCTGATATTCGTATTTTATTTGGTATTTGAGTTTTTCTTACCCTGATCCATTTCGTGCACTAACTTTAACAAATAACAAATCTACTGGAAATTCTGTATATTAGGAATTAGCTGAATGAGAAATGAACTGAAAAGGGAAGGCCAATTGGATAGGCTGGCCAAATGACATGAGCCATCGATCATTCGACGCTGAATTTCACGCTGAATCCGAATCCGCTTCAAATACAAGTTGATTTTAAACTGCTTCTCATAGAAATGTTTAGTTAAGGTTTGAAGCGGAGAACAATTAATTTTGAAAATCCAAAAAAGTAGAATGATGGACCAGAACTAGAGACGGTTTGCCTTGTATTCTAACCCACTGTATTCTATTCTAACCTTGTATTCTAATCCACTGTATTCTATTCTAACCTTGTATTCTAACCCACTGCCACTCGGCTATCACTGCTTTTTAAAGTCCCTGAGAAATCTGCTTATGAACTCGGGGTGTGTTTTTTGAAAACCCATACAAAACGCTTATAACTTTTGACAGCGTGCCGTTTAGCAAAAACGGGGATCAGATTCGGATTCAGCGTGAAAGTAGAACGTCGGGATGATCTGCGTCGGATGATCTATGGCTTATCTCATTTGGCCAGCCTATCCAGTTGAAATTCCCTGGTGAATTTCTTTAACTTAATTTCTAGAGCAATTAGAACATTCAGCTATTGTTGTTAAAACCTGATTTGCTAAGGAATCAAACTGTGAATTGAATTGAATCAAAGTTACTTAGAACAGACAAAATCTAAAGGAAACATTACGGTAGACTTTCAAATTATCTATCTTTTAAAAAATGTTTTAATAATGGGAAATAATGGCAAGTGAATAACTACCAAGTTGAATCAGGTGGTCTAGAAAGTCCACAGCTCAATTCAAACCTTAAACTTCAGGTTATTCAGCTTATTTCGCTAAAGATGAGCCAGTAAAATGAGTCTTTATGTTATAAAAAAATATTATAAATATTATTTCCAAAGAAAACTTTTCGTTAATAAAAGCTACCATCGAAGTGTCCTTAATGAATCCCTGTGAGTACTTCAGGATGAGATTTCGGGCTTTCTCCTCGATCTGGAAACTTTTGTAAAGATCGGGAAAGCTTGTTTCGATTATTTATCAGTTTATCTGTTTTTAATTTTAATAATTTCCAACCTCTCTGGGGGTGACGGTTTTGTTGACGGGAGAAGTTGGATGCAGTGCAGGTCCTCCACCTCCTTCTCCACCTACAACCGCTCCTCCGCTCGCCTCAATTCGAATCAATCTCTCCACATCTTTCACACAGTCTGTTGTGTCGTGGTAAAGGAGTTGAATCTGTAAATTACTTCCAAGATTAAGCCTGAATCAGTAGATAATCTGCAAAACGTTTTGGACTTGTAAAGCAGTCCAGTCCAGTGGACTGACTGGATTGGCGGGCTGACTGAGTCTGAATTCATGTCTAATATACTCTATCGATATTCTACTCATTTCTACTTGCTGAATAACTTCTCCATTTTACGCTTGATAAACCAGTTCCACTCTTCAACCCACCACAACTTTGTGACAAGAGATCTGCCCGCGGTCCTCAATCCCAGCCAGATAACCATATCTCATCAAAATCTTGTTAGCACTCTGGACACAATGTCGGAGACCGATTCGAATCTGGAAAAGATTTGATGATTGAAATTCTAATAGTTAGTTAGGAGCAAGACTCTAATCATCTGATTATCACAATTTATCAACTACATTAGATGTTTTTTGTCAGCTCTTACTGTAACTAAATCTACCTGTTTTCTGATAATCGCACATCCAATGATCCCAGCAAATAGCGTGAAACACCAAACGAGGCAGAAAATAAAAACTGGCAACCCTCCACCCTTTGGACTTGTAAAGAGAACAGCTAGTAGAATGGCCAAGGAAAAGACCATCCAGATAGCGATCACTCGACCGTATAACGTGGAATAGCTAAATGAATAAGATATTTAGTCATTCATGTGTTGATTCTAATTTAAACTTGACCAGGATTGATTCAGAGCCAAATTTCCAAGTTAAACCAAGCCTTTGCTTTACCCTAGTTTTCCAAACTCTAGTCTTTAGCCTTTTTGAATCTTCAAGGCTGTAGGCATAGCCTGAACTGACTAGTCATAGCTGTTAAGGGTAACATCACAGCTTACAGTCTGAATCGATAATCATTTGTAATCAACTCCATTGCGGTGATGAAATCGTCTGCGGGTAGCTAAAAGTGAATCAAAATAATAGAATTTTGTTCAATTATCGGTCTCAATAATGTAAAGCGGATCAATTTGATTAGTTCCAAACTATCTAATCAATATCAATCTAACCGTTCCAAACGTTGGACTAATCAATTGTCTTTTGGACTAAAGGAACTTCTTGTCAACTCTCACCTCAACTCCTCCAGCCGCCAAGATTGCCGGCATGTTGTAAGGGTTATACCGCGGTGGGACAACCCATGCACAGTGTGAGTTCTCCGGGTAGATCGTAGCCACGAGTTTTCCGTTCTCTGAAACATACAAAAACATTCTTGATTAGATTCTTGATTGATAGCGATTATCTGGTATTGCTTTTAATAACAAAAGCTTACTCAATAAGTATCTCCCCGGCTCTTGCTCAAGCGATGGCATTGTGGTGATGATTTTCTTTGGTTTGTACTCGTCCTGCTGCGAGAAGACCGGATTTAAACGGGCTGGATCTAAACATTGTAAGGTCAAACTTAATGCTCTGCAAAACTGTTCCCTAAATACTAAAATTTTCTTACCTGCTATTATCATAGTTGGTAAAGGAGTGACCGCTTGTGGTGGGGCGTCTTTGTCCTCCTCGATCGCCTCGATCTCCGGGTCGGGTCCATCATCCAAAACAAGTGAGTGACGTCTACCCAATGGACCTTCGTCATTCATATCTAGAAAAGTTACTGGATTAGCTTAATAAGCAAAATTATTCGGATAGATTATTGGCGGATCGAATACTATCTGAAAATTCGAGAAAACTTTTGAATTCTTTTGAATTTTGGGAATTCCAGAAAACTTTTGAGGAATGAGCTGGCCCAATTGAGTTCCCGATCACGAAAATCTTAATTGAAGCAGATCAGATCCGATCAGCTTCGAATTGAATCAGAACAGATTGAATTAGGGTATTTTTTTTTTTGCTTTTCAAAAAGAAGTTATTCAGCGGAAAATTTGTACCGTCTGGTAAAGCGTGCTGCTCTTTTGGAGTCCGTAAAGCGGAAGGAGCGGTAAGCGACTGACAAGGGAATGGCCAGAAGTGGAAGCGACCCTTTGGGATGAGTGATTTAGCACTTTAGCATTGCTCCTTGATCTTTAATGAATTGGAAATTGTTCCTAGAGATTAGAGCCTCTCAAGTACGATTCAATTGAGCAAAATATGTGTAATATGATTTGAACCCGAGCAAAAAGCAAAAAGCCGATAGATTTCTTTGTATACCGTCCTCTTATCCACTGGACTATCAGCTAATATTTGGTTGTCGAGTAAAAAACCTTTTGATGCCAAAAACTTCTTGGCCAAGTATCTCGCTTTTGTGGTTTTTGGCAACTTTTTTTTACTAATATTTTCATTTTTTACACAACTAATTTTTACAGCATCGTGATTAGTGTGGTCTATTCTATAAGGTCGGTCCTGAAACGATCAACGTTCGCGAGCTGACAAAGGAATGACCAGAAGTGAATGTGACCGTTTGGGATGACTCATACCTCATTCGATAGATCTCATGATGAATATTGAGGCCCAAAAAAATTAGGTCCCTAAAGTAACTCTACAACGAGAAATGGGGCTGGCAAGAAGCAAAAATGAGATTTTTGACCCTTCTTGACGAGGCTGGAACTTTTTCCTGAATTTTTGAATAATCTTTTTTGCATTTAATAGAATTTGAATGTAATTGAATTTGGTTATCAATATTCATCATGAGATCTATCGAATGATGTATGACTCATCCCAAACGGTCACTCCCACTTCTGGTCATTCCCTTATGAATCGGTTTTCAGTTTTCTTGACGTCACTATGCCCAAATTCCTGGGATCAATTTTTCCCTTAAATTTAACTGTATTTTTAATACAAATCTACATTCTGTTAAAATCATTGTGTTATTTAAACAGCAATTAAAGTGAGAGAAAAAGAAACGATGAGAGAAAGACCTTCAAAGTTAAATCATTCAACACCCATTTAACGGATAAAAGCCAAAATTCCCTACCAGATTCAAAAGAAACCCATTCAGAGCCTCTCGAAGATTTTCCCTCGTTTTCCTTCTCCAGAGTGCTTCCTTTACTCTCAAGCTCCATTGCTGAAAATATTTTTCATTATATGATGATAAAGTATCTAAATTAAAAACCAAAAAAAAATCGAATTGACTCAAAAGCGATTCGTTGGCTATTTTTGGTGAATAAGAAGCGTTGTTTTGACGGGAATGCCGTGATATCAAAGAGAAAGATAATTTAG